TGCCGTCACATATTCCAGGAGTCGGCAGGAGCAGGGACACAGCGGCTGAAAGATGGCTGCAACAACCAGGAAAAAGACAGCTGACATAGAAAGAGAGGATGTTGGCGCAGGACCCAGCCTGTGGCAGTGAATTGCAGGTGGAAAATGCTGGATTTCCCGGGCGGGTGAGTAAGTTTTCTGTAGAAAACAATACGTAAGAGGTCAGAGGAGAAGATGGAAAAAACACTTGGATGAGGGCGGGGAGGATCGGAAGGGTGAAGTTCTTCACGGGGAGCCGTCATCTGATGTCTTAGATGCCAGCAGCAGTCCTCCCCGAAGTTACCTGGTGAATGCATGGTAGAGACAAATGTGATTGCCTACCTGCCACTACTGTGCATACGCCAGGTATTGGTACCATTTTGGGTTATCGCAAAGGCGCTACACTATCCCCAGAGCGGACGCTGCATTTAGTGTCAGTGCTGCTTATCTCCTCTAACCTGCAGCTGTCCTCGCAGAGACTGGCAAACAGCTCTTAACACAGGAAGTCTCCTGTAACTAGTAATTTATTTTAGCTCCTACATGTCACATGCTCTAAGAGAATCACAAATAAGTTATTAACATGGGTGGTGGTTGCTGCAGGTTAGAGGACATCAGCACTGTAACAAAATGCCAGGTCCCACTGCCTGCACATGTGCAGTAGAACCCCGTAGACTTCTGCGGGGCTGGGAGATGGGTGGGTCCCCTGACCTCACACAAGTCTAAGGGGGTCCTAATGGGCGCATGCAGGTGGAGGGAGAAGATAAGCCAGCTGCAAGAGGATGGGAGGAAGGGAAAAGAGTAAGGAAATGTTCAGAAAATTTTCTTACCCTTTATATGTTTTTCCATATATTGAATGAAAATTTATTTTATCGATCAAAGCATCCAATTTATTAAACTCTGAAGCCCTTTAAAACTCTTTTGTTAAGACCTCACCCATATAATAATAATAAAAAAATCACAGATTTAATAAGCTGGAAACTTCTTAAAATATATGCACATAATACCCGCCATTTTGGGAAGCTCCTTCCTAAGTCCTCACGGTCCACATATCAAATGGCCAGCAGTGCACATCAAGAAATTAAGGCCCCCCTTCACATTATGCCATTTGTTTGCAGGGCATACCGTTAGTGTGTGGTATTTTGCATTTTAACTTGTGTTTCATTAAAGCAGCCAGTTCATCAAAAATGGCTTGCCAACATGAGCATGGCAACATGAGAAAAAAAACAGACCTACACCTTTTTCTAAGCAGCACAGAGCAGCTCAAAGCATGTGAACTGTGGTGCTCTGCAGTGCGTCCAGTACTTGTGCATTTGGGTGCCATTCTAAATAAATGTCACATCGCATTAAAAGGATATTGATATAAATACCTCTCCAAATATTTGACTTATTTCAGGGGATGTAACAAAATCTCCATGTTCTCCCAGCATGTTCTGATGCATATAATAACCCTGTGTTACAAGGATAACAGAAGAAAAATAGATCTAGAGTTAGATATAGAATGTTATAACAAAAATAAGAATATGCTGGATATAAAAATGTATTTTTATACCATGTACACTGAGTGGCCAGTTCATTATGACCACCTGAAGTTTGTAGGCAAATTAGCTATAATTAAATGCTGAAGTTGCCAGACCATTATAAATAGGGAAGCAGGTTGTTTACAATGACAGTAGAAGTAATTTTTTTCTGAAGATATGGGTAAACCGCGATTTAACAGCCTTTGAATGTGGGATGATTGTTGGCGCTCGCGCCATGGAGCGAGTATCAGCAAAACAGCAGAATTCAATAAATGTTCAAGAGCAGCTGTTGTTAAAGTGTTTGAAGACTTGACTGTCAACCGAAAATCTGGGTCTGAACGTGCGCATTGTGGCCGTCAGCGACTAGTCAATGTTAGAGCAGAACGGAGAGTGGCAAGATTGGTACAAAACAACAGAAGGCCAACAGTGCAGTGTCAGATTCCTCGCATCACCTTTCAACATCTCGTGGAGTCACGAGGCGGCCCAACGAAGTACTGATGGGGTGTTCATAATAATCTGGCCACTCAGTGTATATGTATAGATATGATCTACTATGCGAGTTATATATATATTTATTTAGAATCTGGTTTAAGCTGGCTGAGATTGTCTCCAACATAAAGTCACAATAAAGTAATATTATAATAAAGTCACAATATGGACATACATGGCTTATGTGAAACTGCTGTAACCGGTAACCATTCCCCAGCCTTCACCATTCATGGTGCTCCATGTGGAAAGGGGCTTGTTGACCCCCTTCTATATCCCATCACCGCCTGGAGGGGTTTCCGTAGCCAGGACAGGACTGTTTGTTGGTCTGCAGAGAAGTCGTGAAGGCCGGGGAAGGGACAAGCTTTATTGGATGCGGATTATATTCATCATTATTAAAGAGTTTGCTTCCCTGCATTTAGAGACAGGCAGATCCACAGACAGCTCGATGTCTGGAGAAACGCCTCTTCTTCTGATTGACAACAGCTCTGTGTGACTCATCTTCTCTCTCTAGACTAGCTTTTTTTATACAAACTTAATTTATAACGTACGTAGACTATGAAGCAATCTCCAGCCTATCCTTTTTTCTTTTCATGTCATGTTGAATTCTTGTTGGCAGGTTGTTTTACAAAGTAAACTAGCACAGTCGCCATTACAAGCAGGCTAGGGTATCTGAACAGTGTTTATTTTTTTTATAGACTTTTTTTTTTTTTTAAATGGACACCGTGGTTCACATAGATTACGTCGCTGAACATTGCGATTGACATGCATTTGATCGCTAAACATCGAAATTGACAGATTTCATAGCTGGATGTCGTGATTGATGCAGATTTAATCGATGGATATCACGATTGACACTGATTTAATCACTGAATGTTGCAATGTACGCGCATTTTATCGATGGATGTTGCAATTGACACGGATTTGATCGATGGACGTCGCGATTGACGCGGGTTTCGTCATAGGACCTCGCGATTAACGCGGATTTCATTGCTGGACGCCATTCATTTGAATGCCACCTCAAATGCACTTTCTACCCACAATGTACTCAGCCGTGCCACAATGAGCAGTAAGCCACTACCCTGCGTTGTAGTGCGGTGCTCATTAAAGAAATAGTGCATGCACTACTTTTTTCAAACGCAAGACGGCACATGGTATTGCGTTAGTGCACATTGCGACGCATTCCGAGTGCATTGCGGGCAGGAGGTGAATTTGAGGTGCCATTCAAATGAATGGCAATGTAACACCCTTATATAAACTGTGCGCTGCACGCTCAGTTATAGCATAAATAAGTGAGAATAAATCTATTCAATTGTCACAATAAATGTGTTAAAACCCCTCCTAAAAAAAATATTTTAAAATAAAATTACTCTCCAATGAATAAAAAAAAAAAAATATATATATATATATAATTTCATCAATGTAGCAATCTTATTTACAATAATAAAACAGTGCAGAGTCCTAAGTGCATACTTTTTATGCACTTAAATTTATCAACAGAAGAAGTCCACAACCGATCTTAGAGTGCTCTACAAAGCAGTCCACTCCAATCACCCAGGTGCCGGGCAAACACTTTCCGCACTCACCAGAGTCAAATAGCCATCAGATTATAGATGGTCATGAGCAGTCCCGGGAAGAAGTCTAGTGATGAAACATAGGATGGGTGGTACATGCTGGCATCAACATGCAGCAACGACAGAGCGCGAGAAGGAAGCAGCGTTATTGAGAGCGATTTATTTTACAGTTTTTATGTGAGTGTTTTATGGTATTTTAATTAAGTTTTAAAATTCACTACACTATGGAGGATTTTACTGTGTTCCCTTTGAGTACTGATGCACTTGACAAGTAATTGTATGAACAGAGGAGACCTCAGAATACCAGGGGTGAGGACATCGTTGGAAAGTGGGAGTGAGCATTAGGCACGATCGGGAAGGAAGAGTGAGTGTCATCCACAAGAAAAGAGAGAAGGAGGTGGCTGTGGTCATTGCTTCAACTGAATAGCTCATGACCACCTATAATGTGATGGCTATTTGGCTGCGGTGAGTGCAGAAAGTGTTTGCTCAGCACCTGGGTGATTTGAGTGGACTGCTTTGTAGAACACTATGACATCATTTGTGGACTTTATTTTTTATTGATAGATATGAGAGCATAAATTAGTATGCGCTAGACTAGCTCTTACCTTCAATGGATTTGTTAAAACTTCCCTCATATATTCTGCAACAGTAATAGGGCCTGTTGCTTTTATTTTCATTGTAAGGTATTTTAGTAATGGGTTGCCCTCTTGAGAATCTCCAGTTTTGCTACTTTGGTATCTGTCAACATCTCTTGCAGCAAACACTAAGATAAGTAAAAAATTAGTTTATTAAATAAGTCATTTAGGTAAAGCATTATACAGTGTACAAAATCCATAATTCAGAAGGTTTGGAGAATAGAATGAACTAAAGGTCATTGGAAATATTAGCAAAATGAAAGCATTTTTAAATAAACCATCCCCTATGTAAATACATTGTACAAGCTCATAAAAAAATATGCAAATTAAAAGAATATATATATATATATATATTCACAATGACACTAAGCCAAACCTTTTTTTGGGGTATGGTCCTCTTTTGGGTCAGAGGAATACATTTACTAATGCCCGTTATACGCTGACAGTGCAGAGCAGGGAAAGCTCCTGACAATATTGTCCCTCACTGCCTGATTGATTGCTGGTTCTTGCCTCTCTAGAGGAATCCCTGACTGACCGTCACCGCCCTTTGCAGGGAGAAGCCATGAGCTGAGCTCAGTTCTCAAGCTATAGAGCCAACATGTGACACCTGTAGTGTCACACACCAGCTCAAACGATTAGGAAGAGTATATTTCACTCTCCCCATAGTTCTCCTTTGAGGAAAATTACAGTACTTGAATCATTTTCCACTTTTGTGTCAACCTGGCAACCTACCTGATATTTAAGCAGCATGGCCAGTTGAACTGGGACTTATTACCAGTGTTATATTAAGAAACGACTTCATACAGTGGGTATAGAAAAGAATCACCCCCCTTTAAAATAATCACATTTTGTTGTTTTGCAGCCTGAAGACAGACACAGTTTTTGTTTTATCCAGCTGTATTTACTCAGTACAATTTAAAAGATCCAAATTTACACCTCAGGTTGTAAAAAAACGGCCGGCCGAGAGGTCTCTAGATCTGAGCGGGCGTCTTTAGACGTCCGCTCAGACACGCCCCCTCGGCGCGCGAGCGGGAAATGGCCGTTATTCAAAAACAGGCAGCGATGCCTGTTACCATACAAGCGATCCGCCGGCTGTAGAGCCAGCGGATCGCGTGTATGGTGTGCCGATCGGTCCCCCCCTCGTTCCCCCCCGCAGTTGTCCCGCTGATCCCGGGCTCCGCTGTGCCCGGTGCGAGCCCGGGATCAAGGCTTGGCCAGGAAGGGGGTCTAAACATCTGGTCTTGAAGTGGTTAAAGATATAAGACCAAACATGTCAGAATTTTTTTTTTTTTTTAAATAAATGTAAAAACAGAATCACTGAGTTGGAAAAAGGATCACCCCCTTGTGTCAGTATTTTGTTGAACCACCTTTTGCTTTAATTACAGACTTTAATATGTCTCTAACTTTGCACATCTAGACCTTGCAATATTTGCCCACTCTTCTTTGCAGGACTGCTCAAGTTCAGTTAAATTTGATGGTGACCATTTGTGGACTGCAGTCTTCAAGTCATTCCACAGATTTTCAATGGGGTTTAAGTTGTGGGCTCTGACTAGGCCATGCAAAGACATTCACTTTTTTCTCCTTCAACCACTGTGTGGTCATTTTTGCTGTGTGCTTTGGGTCATTGTCATGTTGGAAGGTAAACTGTCTTCCCATTGACACCTTTCGGGCAGAAGGCGGCAGATTTTCCTCAAGAAATTGATGGTACTTTGCCCCATCCATTTTTCCTTCTATCCTGACAAGTGCTCCAGTCCCTGCTGCAGCGAAACACGTGTCATAACAGGATATTACCACCTCCATGCTTTACTGTAGGAATGGTGTTATTTGGATGGTGAGCTGTATTGGACTTCCGCCAGACATATAATTTGGTGTTGAGGCCAAACAATTACATTTTAGTCTCATCTGACCATAGCACTTTTTTCTATGTGGCCTCAGAATCTTTAAGGTGCGTTTTGGCAAAGATCAGCTATGACTGAATGTGGCCTTTTTTTGAGGAGTGGCTTTTCTCTTCCAACCCTCCCGTACAAGCCACATTTGTGGAGAATTTGTGATATTGTTGTTACATACACACAATGACCACTCTTTGTCATAAATTCCTGCAACTGCTTCAGAGTTGCTGTAGGCCTCTTGGTAGCCTCTCTGACCAGTTTCCTCCTGGCTCTTTCATCCAGTTTGAGCGACGTCCAGATCCAGGGAGTGGCGGTGTTGTATCAAATACCTTTCACTTCTTAAAGGAGAACTATGAGGTAAGTGCTTTTCACTCATCCTCATTAGTTCTAGCCGACCTGTGACAATGAAACTGTCACAGGTCGGCTCAGTAGATCGGGAAGTGAGCGAACACATACCGGCGTTCGCTCACTTCTTGATCCCGTCACGGCTCTCTGCTGTGACAGGGGAGGGGCTGGATTCCCCCCTCTGATCCTCCAGTGCTGACTGGCGGAACGGGTCGGGGGAGGGTACAGCTGGCTCTGCCTCTAGATAGGCAGAGCCAGCTGTCACACACGCAGCTGGGCGGATCCAGACATAATTGTCAGGATCCGCTTCAGCTGCGGCGTCCAGGATACCGCGAGCTGTAGTTCGCGGTATACTGAGGAGTCTCATTGTACCGCAACCATGTCCTGACTTGTGCCTGTCCACAACCTTTGTAGAATGTGATTTGGGGTGCCTTAAATTATTGATTAACAACTGAATCTTAAATCAGTGTTGGGTTTATTTACAAATAGGGATATACATACATTCTAATTACAATTAAGGGAAAGGGGATAATGAGGGGGTCAGTAGGGATAGGAATTGAGGTTAGGATCCTTCAGCTAGCCACACCATTCTCTCTCTCTGATTCACACAAGCGATGGGTTTTTCTCTGTGCTCAGAACACTCCTCTCCAGCAGGTCTCAGCGAATCACATTCTTGATGGTAGATTCCAGAAAGACTAGTCTTGAAGTCATCAAGGTTACCATTGTTCCTGCTGGTGGGCTAGGTTAGTGCAGATGATCACACAGGAAGAAGGTTCCATCATATGCCCCTGCCCCCATCCCTAGCATGTATGCTTCCTTGCTGACACAGGTGTGGGCAGTAAATACCAGCAGGGGTTCGGGCTTGCCCCAGATGACAGTCCGGCAGAACTTCATTCATCAGTGTCCAGCCCCAAGAACCCTTTGATAGTTCTCTTTTGCGTATCACACGGCCATATGCTGATTCAGTTCAGGATAAGTTCAGGATATCAAGGAACACCTTTGCATCAAAGCTGTATCATAAATGTCAATTTTATCGGTTCCAACAACTTTATCCCGGAGATCTTTTGACAGTGCCTTGCCACTAGAGCTGCAACAACTACTCGATGTAGTTGATTAAAATTGACGATGTAAAACGTTGTCAACGTTTTCCATCATCGATTAGTCGGCTATCGATTAGTTTACCCTGCTCGCGGCTCCACACACGACCTGAGCCGCACACATCAGGCACCAGACGACACGCCTCTTTTTTCTTTTTTTTTTTACAAAATAATGTATTGTTTTACAAGCATATAGTACAACCGTGCACGCTATTTGTGCCTAACATTGATGACACCATGCATAGCAGTGCATTCAACATAACATTACAGCATCAATAGCCGTGGAAAAGGAAATAAAAGGAAGAAACAAAAAGAAAGATAATCAAAAAACAATTCTGGTTCTACATTACAGGTGGGGGAATCATTACCCGACAAGGCTCGCTAGGCCTTCCCACAGCCCTCCTATATACCCGCCAGGGGGTCCAGCCTTGACAGGAGGTCGTTGGATGGGTGAGCTAGATAATGGGGCACCTATCTCGTTTGGACCCTCAGGTCGGACATGGTCCAGGCAGGTCTAGAGCACTCCAAACGGGGCATTAGTCCCCTCTCAGGAGCGAGCATCCAGGTCTACTGCCGAGTTAGTGCATTCCAGCCAGCTATCCCAGATTTTATGGAATTTCCCTGGACATCCCCTGTTGGCATATGTGTCCTGGTATAGAGGTAGGTTGTCATTCACCAATTTTTTCCAAAAGGACAGCTCCGGCGGGGCCGGTTTCTTCCAGCACATAGCAATAGCCTTGCAAGCATAGAACAAGGTGAGGCCTACCAACATGCGTTCCGACCTGGTCGGAGCTACATCCTCCACCAGGCCCATTCTCGGCGATGGCGTTAGTGGCAATGAGGTGACCCTTGAGATAAAGTCTACCGTGGAGACCCAGTAGGACTTGATGAGGGGGCATTCCCAAAAAACCCGCCCTCATCACACGTACATCTCCAACAGGACGGAGAGATGGATGCATTCATTTTATGTAAACCATGAGGGGTAAAATAGGCTCTATGCAGTATTGTCTTAAATTGCACCATTCTATCCCTTATTGCAACCAGTTGTTAATAAATTTGGGGGTATACCATTCCTTGCTGCTAGGTCATCAAATGAGATCAGGGAAGTGGACTCCACAATATCCGAGAGCAGTTTCACACCACGTTTTGCCCAAAAAGCGGGATCGCGGACCGTGTGGAAGTGGGGCAAGTTGGGGTTATTCCACAAAGGGGTTTACGGTGAGATATCCAGGGCCGTCCTGGAGATCCAGGAGTTTCCTGTGCGCCATACTTTGATGGTTGTGCGCATGGAGGGGGAAAGAGGGTAGGGGGCTTTAGGCCCTCTATATAGAAGGCCAGTTAGTGCCTCCACTGAGTTCAGGACTGCGGCTTCCAACATAACCGAGGAATTGGTGACGTCGGCCGTGGGCCGTGACCATTTGGGTTGCTAGGAAATATTTATAGAAGTCCAGGAGCGCTAGTCCACCCGGGAGAGTGGGTCGCATTAGGGTCGTGAGTTTATACCTTGGGGGTTTAGTGCCCCACAAGAAGGAGGAGACTAATTGGTTCAGCTGATGGAAATGGGATTTTGGGATCCATATGGGACAATTACGAAAAATATACGTTAATTTGGGTAGAAGCTTCATTTTTACTAAATTGATCTTGCCTAATAGGGACAGAGGTAAATGTGCCCATGCCTTCAGTCTCTGCTTCATGTCTCCCAAAATCGGGAGTAAGTTCGATGCCAGGAAGTCCTGGGGTGAGCCAGATATCAGCACCCCCAGGTATTTAAAGTATTCAACCCAGGAAAGTTGAGTAACCGTCCTGGGTGTAGACCAAGCTGCAGCGTCAATAGGGAACAATATGGATTTGTCCCAATTAACTCTCAGACCCGACACATCTGAAAATGCGTTGAGAACATCCAAGGCACCCTGCAATGAGGGTCTCGGGTCATTCAGGAACAGGTCGTCCGCATATAGCGCCACTCTCTCCTCCAACCAGCCAATTCTAAGTCCCTTGATATAGGGGGATGTTCTCAGAGCTTCAGCTATGGGTTCCGCCAAGGCGAAGAGAGTGGGCGAGAGCGAACAGCCCTGCCGTGTACCCCTGCGGATAGGGAAGGGAGCTGACAATTTATTCCCCAGTTTGATAGAGGCCATAGGATTGTGATACAGCAATTTAATCCATCGAGTAAATTCCAAGGGGAATCCCATTTTGTCCAGTACAGCCCATAGGTAGGACCATTCCACCGTGGCAAAGGCCTTTTCTATATCTAGAGACACCACCACCCTCGTTCCATCGTTGAGATGGGGCGCATGTAAATTTGTGAATAGGCAACGCAAATTAATGTCGGTGGATCTGCGTGGCATAAAGCCAGTTTGGTCTGAGTCTATCAAACTATCCGTCAGCTGAGTAAGTCTCACAGGGCAACCGAGTCTAGCAGGGGCCGCAAGCCCGGAGGCTGGGCGTCCGTCGGAAGTGAGGAGGAATAGAGGTAGGCGTAGTATCTCCGAAATACCTCAAGGATGTCTGCTGGGGAAGTCTGAGGCCGGGACGTCTGTGACAGCATAGCCAGCAGTCTCCCATTTTTATCCCCATTTTCAAAGTAACTTTGTTTATGACTACGCACATCAGTCCTTGTTAGGTCCGCCAGATGCAAGCGGAGCGTGCGCCTCGCCGACATCAAGGCGTCAAAATTATCAGGAGTGGGTGAGGACTCAAAGAGAGACACCCTGCCTCCACTGCTTGGAGTTCCACCGTACGGGCTGAGTCCTGGGTTTTAATTGCCTTCTGCAATGACATGAAATCGCCTCTGACATAGGCCTTGAATGCATCCCATACCATAGCAGGTCCAGCAGTGGAGGCATTCAGGTTCCAATATTGCTCAATGGATGGCGGAATAGCTTCCAGAGCCAGAGGGTGAGAGATCCAGTGGGGGGCCAGTCGCCAAAGGGTCCGGTCTCTGCTCTGGCCAGAGCGGAGGGTGAGCCACATGGGCGAGTGATCTGAAATACCCCCAGGCAGGTATCTGACCTCTCCAATGTCAGGCAGAAGGGCACCCCCGGCAAATGCTAGGTCTATGCGGGATGCAGTTTTGTAAGAGGCGGAGAAACAAGAGTAAGCCCTAGTTGTGGGGTTCCTCCATCTCCACACCTCCACCAGGCCGGCAGTGCGCGCCCAATCGCCCAAGTCGGAGAGGCCAGATCCGGCAGCTCCAGATCTATCCAAGGCTGGGGCCAAAGTTGTATTAAAGTCCCCCATAAACAGTATTTTTGCCGGACCCAAGGAGAAGATCTTATCTAACAGTGTATACAAGAGCGTAGAATTGTAAGGTGGAGGAAGGTAAACATTGAAAATAATATATCTTTGAGACCACATGGTACATACTAAAATAACAAACTTGCCATTAGGGTCAGTATGAATCTCCTCAACCGTGCAGGGCAAAGATTTGCTGACCAGGACAGAGACCCCCCTCGAGTATGCGGAATGGGAGGCATGGAATGATCTCTGCACCCAGGGCCTCCTCAAGGCCAGCAGCCTATTGCCTACCAGGTGGGTCTCTTGCAGAAGTAGTATGTGAGGGTTGTATTGTTTAAGATATTTGAACATTAGTGCACGTTTGAATTTGGAATTAAGCCCACGGATATTCCAAGACAGGATCTTAACCTCTTCTACACCTCGTACACTCATTGGGAACAACAAATCAGATGCACTCAGTGCCCCCTAGCAGTGTCATACAAAAGCAGCCGTAGTCCTAGCGTGCGAGCCAACCACCTGAAACAAAAAAAGTCCTTGAACCAGAAGAAAAAACGACCCCTTTCCCCCGCAACCCACCCTGCCAGGCCAACACATCCCCAACAGCTCATAGAGCAATGCGTGTAAGAAGGCTGAGGATCCCCAAAACAGTCAAGAAAAATTCAACAAAAAGAAAACAACAACAGTCTGCTAGGGCAGTAAAGTAATCCGGTTATAACTTCGCTAAATCCAGGACTCTTCCTGCTCCCATTACCGAGGCGCTGAGTAATCGGTGCGAGCAGAAGGTATAGCGATAGAATGAATACTGGCTTAGCATGCGGCATCACCCTCATTAGTTGCTGCGGCAAGGACCCGGTCAATGTAGTTGAGCAAGCGGATCAGGAAAGGCCGGGCCGGGGCCCCCGGTTTCGGCGGGATGGGTGGAACTCGATGTGCTCTCTCGACAACGAACGTCGGTGG